GATAATGAAACTCCCATAAACAGTGTTTATCACTATCCTGCATTATGGAATTTATCTGCACAATAAACAGGTCAAGATATATATTTGTTACCATTCTTTGCTGTTTCCTGATACTGCCTGTCCCATTTCTTCCAGTATTCAAGAACAGGGAAAAGAAGAAAAGATTCCTGATTCTTCAGCAAGATATTTGGCCTCTCAGCTGTGACAACTTTCCATAAAGCTAATGAAGACTGGAAGTGTTTCCCTCCAAATCCATCAGTAGTACATTATTTTCCCACCACTTCAAAACCGTCTAGGGACGGAAGGTGCTTTCTCCCTGAAGCCCTGGGAGGCTCTGCTGTGAAAGCAATGGCTTAACCTTAACCTTGGAGTTCGCAAGGCTTTCCACAGGCATTCTACATGAGTGTAAACTAGCAGTACATTTTAGAAGTGGTTAGAAATCTCAACTGATATACAAAACAATAAAGATTTCTATTCACTTTTACCAAATACCAACAACTTTCATGTTCTGCATAAGTGAGAGAGCATATGTATCAGGTAGAAGGAAATGAGGTTCAGATTCTGTCCAGGAGAGCACAGGTTAGCATTACTCAGGTTACTATTATGCAGGACAGAAAATAGAAGGTCAATGTTTATCTACAGAAGGGATACACTAAGCAGTTCAGCATCAAAGGAAAAGTGTTCCAGTGGATATATTCCTCCAGTGATCACAGTCATTCAAGAAATACCAGGCTGTGGTGGAATGCCCAAAAAAAGACATTAGAGACCTCCTACTGGCAACCGCAGAGAATTTTGATTTTAATCCTTTGCTCTGAGTAACACAAGAAAGTGCCAGTAGAACTTCAGGAGTGTACAGTTAAAAAGCATTTCTATCTCCAGAGGTACTAGAAGAGACAGAGAGGACTATTTTTCAATAGAAGTAGAAAAACCTGCAGCTTTACCATGTGACCTGCTACACAAATGTTTCTTAAATTCCACTTTATTTATTGATCTAACACCAAATTCCACTAGAGAAATGTGGAATGAAACAATAAGTTGTCTAGGAACCACGATTTTAACCGTGTTCCATGCTGCTGCTTTAATTATGTAAAATAGTATTAAGTAACAAACTGTTTATGCATGAAGCGGATAATTTATACATCAAAAAATATTATGGTAATTGGATCATGCTATCTTCTTAGCTTTTCCCTCCTCCACCTCTTCAAACTCTCAAGTGGAGTAATAGTCAGAGAAATACCTGTTCCAGGCTGGGGTAACAATGAATTACATTTTTCCCACTGATTTTCCAAACACAAGGCACTTGCTCTGTAGAACTGAATCAACAACTGCACAAGCTTGGAGAGAGAGCAATGCATATTTCACTATCTCCCAAGTGTGATGATTTTAAGAGCATTATAGGCATGACAAGAATGGACCAAAAAGAGAACACACAGATTTGGGGTTGTCACTATACTCAACTCCAACATCGTTTCTGTTGTTCTTTAAGGTTTTTTTCTAGAAGGGAGAAGTATGTAAGGAAACTTGCTTGTAGTTTGTATCCTCTTTTCTGGAAATGATCGTGTAAGCTATGAATTATCATTTAAACCCAGATGGTTTCATCTGACTTTTATTATAGTCTTAACGCTAACTCGCATTTATTTAATTTAGTAACAGCTTACACTTTATAATTAGAGTTATACAGAATAACTAGTACACTGCGATCACTGAAAACCTATTCAATTAAAATATTTTAACATTTCCAGTATTTCACAAGGCTACCTAGCATCCATACAGTTATTCTTGCCCAAATCCTGCAGCTACACCCTCCTGGAGACTTTGGTCTGCGAGATGCAGAGCTCTGGGCAAGTTCCAGGGATTCAAAAACAAAGCTGTGTTGCTAACAGGGTTTGAAACGTGCCCGGAGGGATGAGTGTGCCGCCGGGCGGCGGGGGAAGCTCAGCGGGCGGCGAGGCGGGAACGGGAGCCGGAGCGGGAGCGGCGGGGCGGGAACGCGCGGAGCTGTCTGCGGTGCTGAAAAGGCGGCGGCGGACAACGCCCCCGACCCCCGTGGGACAGAAGGTGCTCCCGCTC